CACAGTGGTCCAGATACGCTTAAAATCGATTAAAGCATGTTCCACTTACCTCAAATGTTTTTTCTCGGCGCCAGGAGAGGAGGGGAGGGTTGGGGTCTGCCCCTAACAATATAAATATGGGACATTTTTGCCCCCCACGGAAGTTAATGCAGGGAATTTACTGCTCATCGAGAAAAGTTAATATTAAATTTGTAAATTTTTAGAACTTCCTTCATCTCAAATATGGGTTCGAGAAAGACCCCCTTTATCCCAGTGCCCTCTTAATTGATGAGTAAGTCTGGAACTGCATTGGTCGACATCATTACGACTCCCGCCTCTTGAGACCAGATGGGGTTAAAGTCTATTTTAGCTAAATGGTATGTTTTCAAAGCGTTAGTCTCTGTGGAATTCCACAAGAAAGTACTTCCCACTATATTATAGTTATGTACTACCGCTCAGTGAATCAGAAGCTGTCTATAATTAATAGCAATTTTAATTTCAGGCTAGATATTCGTCTGACATGCATAAGAAAGCCATGATGTAATTATTGAAGCCTGTAGGGGAAAGGAAATTAACTCTGAATTCTCTTGTGTTAGAAGACAGTGAATTAATTGTATAGTCCTAACACAATAAGACTTTAGCATAGTTAGTTTAATTCATATCTGAATGATATTGTTCCTACCAGCTGTGTCTCATAACATCCAGTGTAGTGTCTGAAATTGTCACGTTTCATTCATTGACCTGTGGTGTTCTTGCTCAGCCTTTATATATGTAACGTATATAATAAAAATCGTGGCCTTAGGTATATATATATATTTGGAAGTGTTATTTCATGCCGACATAATGAATACAGGAAGTTAGTTAATTATAGAATTACGATTGGTCGTTGCTGCCTAATATACCGTTATTTAAAGGGGCAAAATCGCTAATATTTGGGACCTAGAAATTGACACAAATGGGTCACAACGCATATAATAATGTAATATGAATGTATATAAACTGATTAACATTCAATCGTTTCCGTTTTTACTCTAATTTCAAGTCAGTTATGTTCGGCGAAATACGCCAGAAGTCTCTGTCGAGTGGCAATCTCTAGCGGCTGGTTATTCCAGTCTACACCGATAGTATTTATTGCGCATGCTGTCCAGATAAGAATATCGCGTCACCGTTTGACATGACTTTTGAAATACGTCTAGCCTCGTTCTTCGAGTCCCTTGTTACAAATGGCGCTGAAACGCATTATGTTACACGATTCGTGTACCAATGGTAAAATGTTTATTTTGTCTTAAATATTGTATATCAGATGCCCATCTTTTCCCGGTAAGATCACAACATCAATGTCGATTTAAATTGACAAATACTTAGTGTTTTCAATGTAGAAGACTTTGGATGATATTGAGTTGGAGCAGTGGTTCTCAACCTTTTTTTGCCAATGGCACACCTTGAAACACATAAAAAAAATAGCGGCACACCTGGCTAAATATATATGAAAAATATTTGAATTTTGCAAAATAAAAACATGGCAAGTCATAAACGGCATACTACCGTAGACACAGACTAGTCATAGACACATAGAATGACTTAAACTAAATAAAGAAAAACACAGCTATGAACTTATTTTATTGCAGTGTTTCGAATTTCATCAGTCAAATAACTAAGAAATTTTCTTAGTGTGCCGTTCAAAATTTATCGGCAAACTTAGGAAGATCTTGCGGCACAACTGTGTGCCGCGGCACACTGGTTGAGAATCACTGAGTTAGAGACTTACCTACTTTAAGGTCTTTAAACCTTCAGCACAACCGATATCCTCGAAATCACATCAAATTTCCAAGTTAATTGAAAGAACACAATATCCATTGATCTGAACACTATAACTGTTTAGAGTGAACACTTCCAGCATACCACATAAGTTACAATCAGACTGACACTTCATAAATCAAAGATTTATGGCTTTGTGGCTGTCCCGCTTTGATCGGTGTTTTGGTTTCGCAACGCAAGTCTTTACAAACCGATACAGAGCATCGTCCAACTTGTAATACTTTACTAAACCTTGATTTACAGTCACAAACTATAGCTAACGTTACTCTATTGCGCACGGGATTTAGAAGTTTAAAATATTCGAATGGGACATCCGCCATTAATAATAACGACGATGAATAAAGTCAGTGGCGTACTGGCGCTCATTATCAGTCTTGCATGCGCCACAGCATACTGTCATGTTCACCTACAATGGACGAATTTCAGCGAAATCTAGCACGAAGATGTCTACCGCACATGATTCGATTCCCATTATGGTACGTGGTCATATTTAAAAATCACACGATTAAATAGGAGACTTAGAATTGGAAGAGATGGTGAAAAAAGTATCAGATTCAGGGGCGGATCCAGTGTTTACGTTTCTAGTGTAAGGAAAGATTTGTAATATAAGAATCTTCAATGAAAAAAATGGAATTAAACAGTTAGAATGTTTAATGGATCCATGTGATTTAAAGCGTCGACACATGGATCCAAAATTTTCACAGTCTACAACAGAATACAATACAGAACAGCTGTATTCATCCGAAAAAAAAATAGTATCTAAAATTCATGTACATTATATAGGTTTAAACGTCAAATGAGGTCAAATGAATAGAGACGTCTTTAATATATATTAAATATTCGTATCATCCCAAATCGACAATAAAACAGTGAGAAAAAGGAAAATCTAAGTAATGGCAATCTAATTAACATAAAATTTACGACATAATGGATTCTTCACTGTTTTGATGGTGATCATGAAGAAAATAGGCCTACATCTGTTCTCAGGAATCCGATAAGATTTTCAAAAAAAAGATCAGTAGAATTATAGATTGTTATTCCACAAAGTCGAAAGGTATGTTAGATTTTTCATTCAGTCAAGTTAGAGCGAGTTTATTGCCGTACTTTGAGCTCCAAACCCGATAGAAATGAAGGCGGAAGTGGCCATAATAGTTTTAGAGATCACTACGTGATGGCGCTCCTGCGTCGCGACAAACGGGGCCGATTTGTCTAGGAATTTTGAAAAGGGGGGGGGGGGCGCGCCGCATAATGAGGGCACTGACCGCGGAGACGGGGCAAGCCGCTGAGAGGGGTGGGGGTTTTTTGGGGGGGGGGGGCGCATAAAAAAATTATCCGTCTTTTCCTTGCATCTGTAGCCATTCCAAGAGCTATTTGGCTGATATTTTCGTCTAAGTAAACGTTCGGAAATCGTTGAAAAGGAGCCTTAAAATCGAGTAAAAAAGCCAATTGAACATGCGACTCGAAAATTGTCTAGGCGAGCGAGGCATTATGATGGGAAAAAAGACGAATCTATTCCCTAGCCACTTCACTATTTAAGCCTTGTAATTTGTACTGTGTACTGTCCACACATGAAACAATGCTATATCAAGTTGCACTCCTGCGCGTCGGTGATCGGCATGAGTGTATACGCCGCCGATTCCACAAGATGCTATCACTGATGTCTGTCTATAATCACTCTATAGGATTAGGGCACCGTCAGCTAAACAACAAGAATTCGTTTGAAAGTGGAAGCATTGATTAGACCAGACTGGTGTGTTTGAGTCGATGGTTTGAGTCATTTGGGATCCCTGCAACGGTTGGGAACGGACATATTTGGGTCTGAGAAAAGGCACTTTCAGCAGTAAAAATTGAAAAAAAATAGAGTTCCAAATCGTGACCAGTTGAAGTCATTTGTTTTTTCATCTAAAAACCACACCGGGTTAACAACTAATACTAGATGTTGAAATTAGTGTCATCGGCTCCTAGAGAGGAAGCAAAGGTCAACACTGGTATTGTATATTCTATAAACAACATGCAACAAACAATATCCTTGGGCTGCTTCAACTTTCTACAACAGTATGTCACATTGGTAACTAATACTTGGTGTTGCAATTAGTGTCATCGGATCCTAGAGACGAAGCAAAGGTCAACACTGGTATTGCATATACTATAAAAACATGCAACAAGCAATATCCAGAGGCTGCTTCAACTTTCTACAACTGTATATCATATTCGTAAATACTCAACTTTCACTAATCCTTCATCCCCAAAACAAGGGGCCGTTGGCAAGTTCTTATATTAGCTGTTTATTCACTTATTAATGACATCACTTATGTCAAGACACCCTTATTTAAACATTTTGTATAAAATCGTACAAAACAAACAATTCAACATAACCTATAAAATATTCTCTCCATTTTAGGAAATATCCACCATATATTTGATTTATTTTAGAATACTATCATGAATCGTTCGCTTTTGTTATATGTGAGTCCAAAATAAAATGCTGTCACATTCCAAAACCATCAGTAATCGCAAGGATATAAATGAACATAAAATGCTTATAATTCATAATATATATTATATATCTGAAAATACCAATTTAACTGAAAGATTTTGAAGCATTCTCTTTGACCCTACATAAAATATGTCACTTTGAGACACAAAAGTTCCAGAATTGATCTCTCTTGCAAGCATATACAATGTATTTATAATTGGCAGTAACCGACATAGCCATCTGCTTCGTGTTGATAATTCAATTATTTGAAAGTTAAACCCTCTACGTCATCGATATCTGTCTTTTTTGGTAAACGACCAACGATGGAAACTACAGTCAATCGGAAAACTGTGTACGCATAATAAGTTTTTATTCGGGGTATATTCGCCCCAGATTTATTGCTCATTAACTATTCCTTAATACGACGAAAGTAACGCACATATAATAGCAATTATTGCTGAATATAGTCTTGACGGTTACGTGGAGCTTATCGTCAAATGCAAGTATATGCCTGGTCTTAAAAATAAAATGATATCCGTGTATGTTTGGATGATCCGACTGAAAAGTTCTTTTTGGAACCTAGGAACATAGATTAGTGGATTTAAAGCTATATTGTGTGTTTTAACTAATTAAGTGGGTTCAGATATTTCCACATTAATCAAATTGTTACATTCCTTGTCATTTAGCATATAAATTTGTATTTATTTAAAAAGTGCGTTAATCTTACCTGGCCAATGCTTCATCATCTTAGAACGTTTAAAGTAGATATCAAAATATTTCAAGCAGAATCTTCATCTGTTAATGATCATACGCAGCGTGTGTGTGTCTCGCGCGGAAGTTGAAAAGAATTTGTCGATTATAAATTGGTACGCGATCGGGTTGCAAAGTTATCTAGAAACCTACATCTAAGTCAAATCCAGAAACATCGTAACAAGCAATCCATTAATCCAACATGTTTTAGTGAGCACTTATTGGATAGTCACAACACAAACATCAGTATGCTAGAGATAACAAACACTGGTGATATATATGTACGTTAGGATTACAGCTTTTATAGCGACGTACACCAATCGATAGAAGATGAGAAACACTAATTGTCTTTTAGTACGTATGTCACTTGCTTTTACGTCTGTGGCTTACCATTAACCTACTAAACATCGTTTAACTCAAATGTTGCGGAATTAAACCCATTGATTGACGTAGCAATTTAACGATGTCGCTTAGTTAGTACACAGAGAATCTAATATACATGCGTTCAGACGGTACAGTTGTCGTAATGTGTCCATAAAACAAAATTATTAACACAGCAATGCATTATTCGTAACCACGTCCTATCAAAATTGCACTGTGTAACTGACTTACAGTTCAAATCAATAAAACTAATATTAAATCAAGAAGGGAGTAGATTTTATTCACATTCCGATAGATTAACATTGAAATAAACAATCAATGAACTGCTGCATAGTGTCACATTACTAGAAATAGTAACACGGGTAACGTGTTAATCTGCAGGTACTATATCAAGGTCTGCAGATATGTGTGAATATTCTCCATCAACAAGTGGTGCCAGGGATTCTGTGAATCGGTATAGTGTTTAATGGGAAGTGAATAGTGTATGATAATGACAATTATTCTATCCAACAATGAATATTTTAGCACGGTGACTCGTACTAAACCAGTACCCTGTATATAGACTGCTGTCGTGTTGAATTAACCAGGCACCGTGGTAGTTACTATAGCAACTGAAGAAGTCCCCGAGTTCCAATATTACCTATATCGCATTCACACGACAAAGCTTTGTTCAGCATACAGAAAATGCTATATTTGGTCATAAATAATAGATGGGAATTCATAAAGAGAAAATATAACATGCACGCAACATATGAATACACAGATGGTCCCTTTAAAACACTTTCACTTAATTCTTCTATTTAATAAAACTGCAATGATGTGTAGATATGGTTAGATTTAGGCTAATATAAATTCAAATCTATACGAATCTCCCAAATAATAGACAAGTGATACCATATGTTATAAATATAGTAATCCTACATTGTAGCAAATACGACACTCGGTCGTGGTTATAGTTTAAATGAACGAAAGCATGGGTGTGGATTTCCAACGCCGAAACAGCTTGGTCGAAACTTATCTCGGAACAATGACCGCCCGCAGAGCAACGTAGCTGTCTACACAATATTTCCACCTCTGGCATTATCACTGTTAAAGAGGTTTTAGAAATTAAATGTGCTATGATGAAAATTTGTCATGTCAGCGACACTACGGTCTACTCTAATTTCGATTTTCAAATTTCGAGTGACTTTTAACATGCTTTCGATGCTTTACACAAGACCTCGGGTTTTGGACTATCCGTACGACAGAACGCTTTTCTATACCAGGCCCTCCATTCTACACCACCAACCAAGAACAAACCATTCTGGAAATCCCGAGACACTTCCTCGACCAAAATAGGGACCAAGCCAAACCCGAAACTTCCTATGCCAGTGTCATACTCACCGTGTCATCGTGGCTTCATTCGCGGAGAAAATAACTAAACAAATATTGATCAATACTAGTCATTTTAAACCAGAGTTGCCTAAAATTTCCTGGCAACCGCTAAAAATGTTAAAGTTGAAGCACCAATATATCAATGCTTGATTTGACTGATATTGTGAAAGCACAAAAATAAATTTAACTAAGCGTCGATAATTTCCTCCCACAAGCTGAAACACGCAAACTGCTTTTACTTTGCCGAAATTTTAATTCCAATAATATCTTAAATAGTGTCCATACAGGATGGTTATGTTTATGGTTGTAGGGATTATGTATAGGATAAAGCACGAGACTGAGGTTATGATGGGGAAAGAAAGGCTGAAGAGGGTTTTTTGTCTTCACTCTTTCTTCCCCAGCATAACCGAAGTCGAGGAATTTATCTTGCTTATAAACCGTCTGTGTTTACATGTACGTAAAATGAGCCAGAATTCCAGTAAGGAAAACCTTATATCATGTTTTCTTATGGAAACAGAAAACCTACCCTGGAAGAATAACCCGTTACAGGTTTAAAGAAAAACTTTCAGAAGAATAACCACAAGTTCCCCTGTATATAAGCAAAGTCGCCCCTGACTTTCAGACTTTCAGGGCTTAGAATATACCCCAAAGATCAAAGATATATTTACCGTTATAAGTTTACAAGAAAACGTAAAGCCTTTATACAACACCTCCTTCGGGCTTATGTTATCTTGAATAATACCACCAACACATAAGAGCATCCTCTCTCTAAAGTATTTAGAATAAGGCTAATCTCCCTGTATGTTTCTTAATACCTAATCCTATTTTGTAAAACAGTAACAATATCGTCTCAAGTGTCGTGCGAAAAGAAGGATGCACTTTGCCACGAATGTATCTTTAAAAGTAATGGTGACCTGTGGGAGTTTCTGCGGCTAACCGATTTCCTTCACCATACGGGGATTATATTTTGTGCACCCATTAGGTTGTAAGAGGCTTATAAGAAATTACGAAGCTGTCGATTGAACAACGCGGTGTACAAAATTAACACAGTATGTATTTACATGAGTATTATGCCCTTCAGCAAGAAAATAAATGTGATTGATTTTATATAATACCGCCTTCAAAATATCATTATTAATAGACCAATAAATGCCAATTATCGTAAATCTAAGAGCTGGCCCGCAGAAAGCATCATTTTCTAAAAGGCGTGTTAACAACAAAACAGTATGACCTTAACATTTGTCTTATACAGACAAGAAACACTTAGTCGAAATAACACCCCAAGACGTTAAACTCCACTATTCGGTGGTATAATATAAGTAACAATGCTATTTTGCCACGGTGTCAACATGGAAATGGCAGAAAAAATCTTTGATACACTCAGCTAGAGCACTCTGACCCCAATGGACTGAACATGGCAGTGCAAAAAAAAAGCACTTATGGAATATGAACATTAATAATGCCCGAAAACATTGATTAACCATCACAACAGCCATAAATTGTCGATCAAATTACAGCGTAACGAATTCACAATCAATTGTAGGGCAGGAACTCTGGAAGATTATAAACGAGATTGCTTTTATTATAAACATTTGAAGATGCATTATGTAAGATTTAGATAAAGAGCTGACTATAATAGTTTAAAAATAGATATTAAAAAGGGAATATATCAAAAGTTTTAGTCAAATTACATCATTCTGAGAGAGGTTACGAATATTGATAAGAGTATAATATAGCGTACCGTAGTCTCTATTTTCATTGTTACCATTGTTACTATAATAAACAAAGTCTCGATTATCCATTTTTAAATTAAATTCTTAAATGGCGATCGTGTTTCAATCTATTAAAATTAGAACCATTCGATGACATCGAGAGTTGATTATGATCTTGGCAAGTTCAACATACATTATGCAAGAGCTAAATCTGCCTATTGCAGGTCTTTCTTTAGGCCTGAAATGTTATCTAAATTATTAATTAGACAATAAAATTAACTCATCCAGATCATAATCAACTCTCGATGTCATCGCTAGCCTGCGATGTTTATTGGATTGGGTTCCGATTTGCTGTTCGACTTCCATTCATGATTTAATCATGAAATGGATAATCGAGACTATGTTTTTTTTATCGTACCGAGTTTAGTAATGATGATCGAGTCTAGGCCGGAAATTCAATCGCTAAAATCTCGGTTCAGAGTGAATCAATTTGAATGAAATTTTCAGTAAATTCCCTTTACATTTTAACTATTATAGTGAGAAATGCCAGCTCTTTATCTAATATTCCATAATGTATCTTTAATAAATGTCTAATTAATAATTTATATAACATTTAAGGCTTAAAGAAATAGGCAGATTTAGAGAGTTGATTATGGGCTTGTCATTGGAATAAATGTCTAATTAATAATTTATATAACATACAAAGTGTCATATTAACCCTCGCTGTATTCAAACCCCACACCAATATCTTAAACATGGTGCAGAAAAAATTCGACAAAAAATCACGTCTAGGTTTCTTTTTGGTATAAAGGAAATTACTTTTTGGTGTTTCAACCCAACTTAAATCACATAAACTACATTAATTTGAAGATAACCTGTACTGTACTGGAATGACTGTACTGAACATACGACCAATAACAATCCCCTAATGCAGGACAAAGACAAAGAGAAAAGGATGAATACTGTAGGCTACATATTTTAGTAGATCTTTATCAAGATTTAGATTCGAATTCATTAGAATGGAGTCAATCCTCTGTATTCCCAGTGGTCCCATTCCGTTCTACTCCATTAACCCCTTTCTTAATCTATGGGAAGGACACGTTTTCAAATTATCTGTCCTTGATGATTGTGCTATTTTTATCGACCAATCCCATAAATCGTTAATTGTAAATTGAAAAGGAAGTTGGCAAAGGGAAGTAACTCTCATCGGGTAAAGTACCGGTAAGCAAAACGCAAAGGCTCCCCCTTCAAGAGACAAGGTTATGAATTAGCCTGAATGGGAGAATTCCCTATTATACTAAATGCGTATTCATTAACAACAAATTACAAGTATTATATAATATATTAATGAGTACCGGACAGGTGTTTATATTGTAGGCTCAAGAGTTTTGAGAATGTTGTTGTTGTTGTTGTTGTGTTTAACGTCCGCTTCCACCGAAGGTCATATCGCAGACAATTTGTAAATCAAATTGACAAGTATAAGTTCAGTAATAATAAACATAACAGAATGAAACATTCCAGAGTAATAATAATAACAAAAGTCAAACATATAGATGTTATACATATCTAAAATCCGCGAAACATACTACATATTTTGATAATACAATTACGTATAAAAGAATTAGAAATATATACATTATTTACATGGACATGGATATGGTTATATACCCTTATAAAAACAACTCGAAACGAAGGCCGTTTCTTTGTTTACTTTGGTGGAAGTGGACGTAAAACTCCAGGAACGAACG